GCGCACAAAAGTGTAGAGAGGCGTACAGCAGTACATGTCGCACCAATGGTGGTGCGTAGCAGCGTCTGTGTGTTGTTGGTGTCATGTGCCCCTCTCCGCGAAAAGAGAGAGAGTGAGGCCGCTGCTGCTGCTGCTGCTGCTGCTGCAACCGAGATGTTGATCTCTCCTCTCGCTTCCTCCGCCGATAGCTACCAGCAACAGTGTATGGCACACCCTTCTCCCGCCGTCTCGCCCTCGCTGTGGTCTGTGTCTCCCTCTCCCTGTTTGTCCATGTCTGGCTCTGTGTGTGTGGTGTGTGGTGTGCGAGGTCTCGGTGTTGCAAGGGGCCAGCAACTTCCCTGCTTCAAGTTGGGTTCCGACGCTGCACTATCTCGACGCACCGAGCCCGGATTGAAGAGGTAGCAGTTGGGGCAGCTCGGGCAAAATATTACAGTCGTCCCCGCTTTAAAGACACCATTTTTAAACACACTCCCCGCTTGAAGGACACAAAAATCTCAGATACATGGTGCCCCGCAGATGTGAAAAAGTAGGCGGGGTAGGGTTTTCCACCATTCAACCCCCCCCCCCAGAAAATGGTTTCGAGAGCAAAGCACCAAATATTGCTAACGTTCGTTGTTTGCCTTGGGTGAACTCTCGTGAGGTTGAATTTGGCGTTTGTGTTGTGTTGTGCCTCGTTTTGACCTTTTGGAAGGCGCGGTGTCCTCTTTGTCGCTGTGCTTTCCCGACATTCTTGGTCTCTTGTTTCTGCGTATTCTACATTTTCCTAGTGTCGTTTTACAACCTTCGATATTTCTCAGGTGCGGTAGCGAGATCTTGGGCAAGATATTCACGGGGAGGACAACGCCTAAAAAATAAGAAAAAGCAAATAATTAAGCCCATATCAACACCAGCGCACTACCGTCGTGTACATGTACGATGCTTAGGTCGTAGAACACCATCGCTTTCAGCGTTTTGGTGGTACAGTACGCGGAAATTCAAACGATGGTATGCAAGTATGTATTGCAGCACAAGCAGCAGTGGTTGCGACCTTCAACTCACCTTGAGTCGTAGGTTTCAAACAACACCTCTTGTGGTCGCCTTTCTGCTGCGAATGCGCACCTTTTGACATATGTTTCGCCTTCATTGGCCCCGGGAATGGTGCTTTAGTGGCCCCGGAATTTAAAAGACACTTCCCCTCGTTAAAGACACTTTTTTGGGGGGGAAACGTGGTGTGTCTTTAAAGCGGGGTCGACTGTACTTGTTGTGAACACGTCTTAGATTGCAATTTGGTGCCGAAATGGTGAAATGGGCCCGAGTCTGCTGGCTTATTTATGGCTGGTCAGACAGACCGTCGGACAGCCTGGGCCCGTTTGCCCCCACCCCTCTACACAGCTTTTTTTCGAAAAGCAAAAAGCGTCCCTATCGGGCCACTTCTCTTCAAAAATAAACTATTATGAATACCCTGTATATGATGTTGCGTGGCAAACTGCATCGACAAGCTGCGGCTGCCCTCACGAGTCGGTATGCACTCGTCGTGGTGGTGGTTGGTGTTTATGTGTGAGTGTGTGTTGTTGCTGTATGCCCGTCTTTTCGTTCTGTCTGTATATGCGCCCGTTGGTTTTGTTGTCCGTTGTGTGTCACGCATTTATTTGTGGCGTTTGCCGTTGGTGCGCTGCTTACCGGGCTTGCCGCGGGCATCTTCCCGTGCCTGGTATCCTCCCGTGCCGGTACCGAAGGGGCCTGGAATGTGTCTGACATGTTCCTCCCCGGTCGGTCCGCAGTCGGCAGTCATGGATACGGTGTTGGGAGGTTCTGAGACGTTCCGAGGCTATTCGATGTTCTGCCGTGCGGTGACGTGGAGGTCGATTTCCGCTCGATTTCCGCCGTCCGTAAGTGGACAAAAGTGGGTCAAAATATAGACATAAGTGGGTACATGAAAAAATAGTTGACGCCGGTGGGTTTACCCACCGCGATGTCGGACAGAAGTGGGCACTCTGGTGAGGCCCTGCGCGCCTCGGCGGTAATAGGGCCAAAGGTGTGCCTGAAAGTGGGAAAAAATAGATGCCCGTGCTGTGTATGGTCCCTGGCTGTGTCGCGCAGGTGTCAGAATGGGGTTTTGAGTCGTTTTGGGGGCCGCCTATGGAGTGCGCGCGCGCTGTATTTTCGAGTGTCCACTTTTGTCCGAGAAAGGGGTGGGTATACCCACTTGTGTCCATTTCCCTTTGGTTTTGGCGGCATCAGATGGACCGCCGGTAGACAGGAGAGGAGGAATCTATCCACACCCACACCCAGTTGCAGCTGCAGCAGCAGACCGCTCGCTACTTATGATGTCTGTGCCTCGCTACTTTTGCACTCACTGTGGTGCGTGGTGGGTGTAAGGAGCGGCCCGCAGGACACAATAAAGGGGGGTACGCGTCATACAATATGGGGGTAACCCATTCTCGGAGCCCCCTGTTGCTCAGCAAAAAAAGTTCTCGTAACGCGAGCGTCCTTAAAGCGGGGTCGACTGTAAATGATACTCTACAACAAGCACTAGCACAGCCGTGTTGGATACAAAAGTCGGCCAACCCTCGCGGCAGCAGCAATTAATCAGGCAATCAGGCGCAGATCTGACGTTGTTTCCGTGAGGCCAACTCCAGCATCGCCCATAATGTGACAGTGACTGACTGACTGACTCACTCACTCACGTCTTGTGGGTAAATGGCACTTTGCCACGGAGCTCGGTTCTTGCTTACGTAGTACAACAAGCAAATGTTAATTTTCCAATTTCAACATGCAGTTTCTTTTTTTTTTATCGAAGAAAAATGTATTGTAAGGATTCATTGATATTTTACCCCGGAACTTTCTTTCGATACGAGATTGAATTCTTTGTTATGCTCATGAAGTGGAGTTATGTTCCGTGTCGTGGTGAACCTCACCACTTGGCCTCACTACCTGGGTGTAAACTCCTATTAATACAGTACCGCAAGTATTCCCCCACAATGTAGACTTAGGCAGGCTGGCACACCTTAGCTTGCCACCGTAGCCCCCCGCGAGCAAAACGCCGGGCGGGAGGGTGGGAGGGCGGGAGGGTTTTCCCGCTCAATCAACTATTTAACTAGGCGAGGGTCACTCGAAGCCGTTCCTCCCTCACACCAGTGCTCGGTGGACTGAGTTGACTGGCCCTACAGCGGATCGATCGTCCTTTCGCCTCANGGGGGGGGGGGGGGGGGGGGGGGGGGGGGGGGGGGGGGGGGGGGGGGGGAGGGTTTTCCCGCTCAATCAACTATTTAACTAGGCGAGGGTCACTCGAAGCCGTTCCTCCCTCACACCAGTGCTCGGTGGACTGAGTTGACTGGCCCTACAGCGGATCGATCGTCCTTTCGCCTCACAGCAGCAGCCGCAGCAGTGTGAAGTTTGTTGTTGCTCCTGCTGTCGTCCTGTGAGCATGTACGTCATCACCGCCCTTGCTTGTCTTTCTCCCCACTGAAATTTCCCCGCGATTCTTTATTATGCATCCGTGCCACTGCACGATTCAGTCCCCCTCCGCAACCCCCCGATTTCCTTGTCTCAATCTTACAATTGCAATCTTATACCTTTCGTGGAGCAAAAAAACACGACCCCAATAAATACATACCGATCGGTCGAAAAAAATATCCAGCATGTATATTGGAATCACCTTCTGCGTGAGGAAGTGTTACTGTTACAAGACCTCCGTCGTATGTACTATTTACTGGAGTTTGGTTTTCTCTGTTGACTGATCCCCGCTTGACTTGCAGTCGTGCGTGTTTGGACTTGCGTGTGTTTATCCTTTCTTCCAGGCGTTGGTAATACGCTCCCTGCGAAGAGGCTGGTAGCGTTGTTGCTGCTGCTGAATATGTTCCCCTTCAGTGTGACGGGTCTGGTGAAGTAATCCCCGCAGAAATATCGCACATACGTGAAGAAAGTGTCAGAATGTGGGATGCTTCTGCTGATAACCACTTTCAGTTTTTCCTGTTCGATTGTTGTCCATCAATGACACCCGGGCCGGGTTTCTACCATGCGGTGCATGTCTACCATGACGCACATGAAGCGAGCGATACTTTGGCTCGCCTTTCTCATGAACTAACGTTTGGAAGTTTTGTTTGCGTCTTGTCCGGCATGGGCAGGCATGTCATCCTCCCCAAGGATCTGGCGAAGGGTTTGCCCAAGTCTAGGGTGCTGACCGAGCAGGAGTGGAGAGGTCTTGGGGTGCAGCAAAGCCGCGGTTGGATGCACTACGCAATCCACAGGTATAACACGCGGCGTACAAATTGGAGATGCGTTGTCGCGTGTCGTGTTGATTTTTCTAGGCCCATTTGTTTTTCACGGTGCACCGTTATGGGGGTTGTTATCACCATGGTAAATTGCTTCTGTGACCACGGAACGCACATAGTTTGGACAAATCCGGATCCTAATGAACCGAGATTGGAATAGTTTTTGTCGGTGATGACGACAACACCAGAGAAACAATGCAGGCAAACATCACACAGCGGCAGTACACTTGCTTGACCTGTTTGACATCGGACAGGTGAGGGGGTTTTGCTGTGTCGTACTCCTACAATGCTACAATGTAGGATGGTGTAGAGATCCATGTACCGGAGCCGGCCCATCAGGATGTTTCGCTTTGCAAGAAACAAGAAACATCCTTCTGACCCGTAACGGCACGTTTGGGTTTCACCAGTGAGCCTTCATCCAAAGACGCCTCGTGAGGCTGTAAGTTATGATATGCTATGGTGTGTTGTGTTGTGAAATGCTGTGTTGTGCAATGCGGCCGTCTTGGAGCTTAAGAGGCTGCGACTGCTTACTGCGCACGCGTCACCTTACGTTGTCCAAACATTAATATTCTAGCCCAAGTGCACTCAGTGTGGATGCCGTATGTACCCTTCGCACGCATCACGCATCACGCATCACATGTGTCATGTCGGTACAGTCCTTTGGCATGATACTTCTAAGAAGTTCAGATTGCAGATTGTGACTGGCTCCTCGCTGTCGCAAGATTGTATCTTCAAGTCCAGCAGCGGATGGCGTCCTCAATGGGTAGTGTGACAAGGGGATTCTGTTCGCGGATGCCGTCTCTGGGTGTGGTGTGGCTCGGCTGAGTCCTTCGTTTGTTGCAGCGGTTGCAACCAATTCACCTTCGTCTGGCGCATGCCTGCCGTCTGCTGCTGATGGTTTTCGCCGCTATTTTCAGCTGCGGACCCCACGCTCTCCTAGTCAACCGCCCGCAAGCACTTCATGCAACGTTCTTGCTTCTCCCGCCGCTGCTGCTGCTCGCTCTTGCCGTTGCTACTTTCTGTCCGATTTTTCAAGGCCGGAACCTCACATCCTGTTGTTCAAGCGGCCTCTCGGGACCGATCCCGTGTCTGGAAAAGTCGACCCCGTCTTGGAGCAAGAGGCCAAGAAAGCCTACCAACAGGACCTGGCTGAAAAGATGGACCCCGGCACTAACGTAGCCCCCATGGCCATGTAAACCGCACAGTACATACCGCTGTAACGCCGGGAATATTACGCCACGATGTTTGCCCTCGTGCTAGATTGGCCATGGGGTCATGACGAGCGCAGATGGACGGGCGGTGTGGGCATAGGGCGAAGCTACGGGAACCTGCGGGATACCATGCTTGCAAGCGGTCGTGGGACGGTAGCGTTACCTTGATTGGTATATGGATCGATTCGATTTTGATGCGATTTGATGCAATTTGATGCGATTTGATGCAATTTGATGCGATGTGATCCTCACGAAGTGCACCGGCAGTACAACAGCAGCACCGGGGAAGGGAAGGGAAGCGAAGAGGGCAAGAGTTGCTGGCCCTGCAACTCTTGTGTGGTGTAGTGTACCGTGATAGCTCGTTTCGGTTCGCTTGCCGTTGTTTTGTGATGCTTGGGATTTGGAGATTTGTTTCGCTTGTCGATGGAGCAAGCGCGGTGCAGCGTGTCGAGAAAAGACTGGGTACGACGTTGGGCACTCTCAAGGTCAAGGTTGTCCAGACACCAGTAAGCCTTTCTTTGACCGCGGGCCGCGCTTGCCGTATTTATCACGGAGTTGAAGGGGTTGTTGGAGCCGAGCGTTTTCTTCTCCTGTGTACTTCGTACGATTTGTGTGTTGCACTCTCGCCTCCGCACCAGAGTGTCCTTCCGACCCACTTCGCATTGACGGGAACGATCCATGACCCGAAGCTTTGGGCCTTGGCCGACAGTCCATACGGCATGCTGCAGTAGGGACTTTCGATTTTTCAACTTTTTTCCCGAGAATTTTGGGTTGCCGTAGTATACAGTACAAGCTTGGGCACGGAGGTGCGGAGGTGTCACGCAGGTCTATCGAAGGAAAAGGGAGGGGGGTCGATATGCCCTCGCCAGGTGTCACTAGTTTTGCCTGTGTGCAGTTCACGCTTGAGTATCGTGTCGCTGCGACGTGCACCAAACCATGGTCGAGGACTGCTCCTTCTGCCCTTGTCCCTCAGCTGCTGCTGTTTCCTCTGGATCGATATGCAGTAAAGGGGCGGCTGTTGTGCGTGGTCGAGGTGTCTTGAGCCCCCTTGCAAAGGCGGGCAGCTGTTGTTGCTCAACGGGAGAACTTCTTGACCGTGCGGCCATCTCTACAAGCACACCGTTGTCTTCGTTTGAGTGTACCAATACACTCGTAGACATAGAATGATGGGGTAGTCGTCAGTCGCCTGTCTTCGTTGGTTGGAAAAACGAAGTTTTTGTCTACGGCAAGTAGGCCTTCGTTCGGAATGGTCCTGGCAACCTGCCTGGCCTTTAGTTGGTTCGGTTTGGCGTTGGAGAAGATAAAGGCGGCCGCCCCACCCGAATGAACACGTGGGAAGGACGCATAAAATACGCGGCATGCGGGCACTTGCTTGACAGTAGAAAAAGTGGAAGGCTAGAAATTACTTGGTGCGTTCTCCGATCTTGACTGACTATAGATTATTGGCCGGCATGCTGTTCGTCGAGAATTTTTTTTTGTGGAGATTTTCGCATAGACTGCGCTCGATGCCTTTGTTCACCATGTTGTATGGGGGAGGATTTGTACATGCTGAATTATTATTTCTACTTCACTCAACAATTGGCAGACTATTATAGTGTCTGGCTGGGTTCAAGGAGAAGGGGGGGGGTGAGTGCCGTCCTCCCAAGGCCTTCAACTGGTCGACCGTCGTGCCATGCGTTTGATTGCAAGATGATACGAATCAAAATTCGATTTCGAAACGGTAATTTCTGACGCTGGCTAGCGCGGTGGTAGTGGATAAAAATTGATTCGATTTTCGAGACGGTGATGCAGACACTTTGCAATATGGCATTTTTTCATTGTTGGGCTTGGTTTGAAACATAAATACTCAGGTCTGACTTGAAAATTATCCGCACGGAACGCCTCTTAGCCCTGCGTGGGCGAGTCGGGGCGCAGTTTTGCCATCACCATCCATCTCACCATCACCGTAAAGTTAGGGTGTTTTCTTGTTTTTTTCAGGGTTGTCGAGATGGATCTCGATCCGGTCCATCCTCTAGCTCCACGGCGTGATGATCCAGTCATCCAATGATTGCACGGTATTTTCCTCCTTCATTGAAAGTGAACTTCTTTACTCAGAGGGCGATACACCCATATACCCAGATTTGGTACCGTCCGCAGACCCCCCGCCTCAAACAGCAAAAATGAACAGATTTCTACTTCATCACTATGTTATATTCATACCCTACTCTCCCCTGTTATATCGTCCTCAACGTCGGTGCCCGCCAAAACTACGAGGCCACGTAGATATTCACGCAAAACTGGTATCTTCTTCTGATTGATGGGATAATATTATCTGTGTTTAAATAAAAGTCTTGCACAATCTAGTTCGGCCACCGACTGACTGCCGTCGTTCACAAGACTCGACGAAAGCAAGTAGCAAGTGTGGTCATCGTCAACTTCAAACACCACGTACAGCAGACATACAATACACCAACAGCAGGCAAGCTAACCGCAAACAACAGCGACACAGAGAAAGCAAACACAAACTTCGTCGGTTTCATTCTTTGGAAGACTTCAAATGTAAAGGTTAATAAGGATGGCGCAATCAACAAACAAACGAAAGCGAGTCATCACCTCCCACGCACCCGAAATTCGCCTTTATGCCGCGCGTGATTGCCGACTTGCTGACGAGAGAGAAAAACCGTCTTGAGGTTTGTAACCATTAAATAACGACAGGGGAACGATTGGTAACCTCGGCATGCCGAAGACAGTTGTTTTTCATACTCCAAGTATGCAGACGGCTTACCACGGCCCCGTTGTCCGTTGTACAGAGCTTTCGAAGCTTCCTTGAGGGGGGGGGGCAGAACACGCTGTGCCCCGTCAAAACCTTGGCGAGGCTAAAGTGTACCCAACTGACGAGCGACAGAGGTAATCTTCAACCGATCCGCACTGACAGACTCATGGCTACTAAACACACAATCTTCTCTACCTATCGCAAGGTTTACCTCGATCCGGCAACACACACACCATCCAGCGTGGCTCGGCACCTCCTGGATGTGTGGATGAATGCAGCAGGCGATGACCCCCCCATTCCCACTAAAATAAAATAGGTGTGTAGTTATGTGAAAATCAAGACAAGACGAGACACAAACCCTGCTTTCGCCCAAACGCGCAGAACCGTGATTGCTTAAAACGTAGCCCCATAGCGCTCTTGTTTTTTTTCGTGTATGGGTGTTACTAGCAAGACCAAGACAGAACGCAAACGACAGCCTGCGTGGTGGACCTCTCCAGACCAAATCATTCCTTCGTGCTGCCTTGGCTTAGCATAGTTGTCCGGTACTAAATCGTGCTATCGCGTGGAAAACCTTTGCACCATAGGTCAGCGTGCACCCTATGGATGAAAAGCCTTGCACACATTCTCATCAGCATTGACCAAAGCGTGCATGGGACAACTTTGTACCATTTGTACTAAGCACAGGCGGCAACACCAGCCCTGCGGGAATAATGCGCTTGTATAGACACGCGCGGCCATCAAGCTCAAAAAACATTCGGTGCACCAAAGGTATAATAAACACACTGTTTCACCCGAGGGCATGACAGACGAACACGCCTCCGCACCTGTCGTATACTTCATACTACAAAAACAGAAAACGTTTTTGTTTTGCTCCTTTTCCTTCCTTCGCCGTCCAAACCGGTACACCCGACAGCAATACACCACTCGCATCGACGACAGAACATGAAAAATTGGTCAGAGAAACCACTCCACCAAGCAAGCGAAAGCTGGGCTAAGCGGTCGGGACAGGGACTGGCTATCAACCACCCTTGAGGTCCGCGTGCGTTGACGAGTCATTCAGCAAAGAACGCCACACATACTGCTGCTACTGTGGTTGCTTGCGCCTTCACTAGAAATTCGCTGCACAGCACAGTCTATATCAGAAAACACGAGAGCTACATATGCTACTACAGCCAGTCTGATCTACTTGAGCTAATACAGAAGCAGTGTGCACACAACTTGGGCCGGAATCGGTCGGGAGAACAGAATTGCGATGTGCATCTTCATCCCTCCCTCTCTCTCCTTCAACTCTCCCTCGTCAACACGCCTGCGCTACATAACCCCGACAGTGATGCTTCCCGACCTTCCTTCGAAGCGAACCGCAGAGTTGGCTACCTCTCCTCCTTCTATCTAGTTTCATCTCGTTCTCTCGCCGCACTTCTATTACGAACGTTGCGCACCCTGCTGCTGCTGCTGCTGCTGTTGCTGCTGCTGCTGCTGGGACGCGCCCCGACCGCCGTTCCCACCGCCCCCGCCCCCGTTCTTACGCCGGCTGGCGGCAGAGGTGCTACCCCTACCCCCCCCTTTTCTCGCCGCCCCCTGCCCCTGCTGGCCACCGCCGCCACCGCTACCGCCACCGTTGTTGGCCCGCCCGGCACCACCGTTCAAGGCACTGCCTCGTCCTTTGGGCGGCTGCTGGTGCCTTTGTTGAGCCTTCCCGGCTTGCTGCTGCTGCTGCTGCTGCTGCTGACTGGTGCTCCTGTCGCGCAAGCCAACGCTTGCCTCGTGGGTGGGAGCGGCCACGCTGTCACCGCCGCCACCGCGTCCCCCGTGCTGGCCGTTCGCGACAGGCTGCTGGTGCTGGTGCTGGTGATGCTGCTGCCCATTCGAGACGGCGGGGCACTTCTGCTGCTGAGACGATTGGCGGTTCCTCCCACCACCACTCGACCGCTGCTGTTGCTGCTGCTGCTGTCGCTGTCTTTGCGGGGTGGGGGAAGGTATCTCATCCGCCCAGGCTCCGGACACCGGGGTCTCGACCACAAGAGCAGGGACTTTCTTCTTTGCTTTAGCGGGGGTTGTTGCTGTTGTCGTTGACGACGGCTGCTGAGGCTTGGCGCTCGATCTACCTTTCGGCGGGGGCTGCTGCTGCTGCTGCTGCTGCTGCTGCTCCCGTTGGCGCCGCTGTTGCTGACCCCTCCCCCCTTTCTTCGTAAGCTCTTGGGCCTGTTGCTGTTGTGCCGGCGGGGGGGTCGCTACCAAACCACCGTGACTTCCACCGCCGCCGACGTCACCACCTTCCTTGACTCCTATCGGCAGCGCCACGTGTGCTTGCCTCTCGTCGTGTCTAGCCTCCCCCTTCCGCCCGCCGCGTGAACGCGAGCCCGATGCGCGACTCCGTCCGTTGCCCCCCTTCCCGCTGGTACCAGCCTTCGTGCCCCCTGATACTGATCCGACGCGCCCGGTGGATACCTCTCCGTTGTCGGTGGCGGCATCGCTCGTTCCCGCCGTAGGGGAAGGGCAAACCGGGACAGAGGCCTGAAGCAACACAGACAACACATCCAAACGCAACAACAACGGCGGTTGACGAGAATTGATTCTCTTGGAGCAGATTGGCCGTTGCCTATGCGCTGCTTCCAATACAGGGGTAGCTGGAGGGTACCATCACATGTTCTCAGAAGAGAATTCTGCAACATGTGGGGCGGGGGGCGGGGGGGGTACCCCGGAGACGTTTGTTCATGCGCCACCGGCAGATAGCAATATTGTACTCTACCTCTTGTTGGCGGAAACCTGTCTGCAACGGCCCATTCCAAACCCCCGCTGAAACTCACGTCCAGCGAACAGCTTATTGTGCACAGAAGACTGCGGTGTCGTACACAAAGGTGCCAAACCAAACACGCGATGACAACAGCCCTGAAGGAGGTGATGGGCAGAAGGTTGACTACAGTACGGCCGTCAAGGACACGTTGCCGCGTGCTGCGTCATCTCACACCTTTGAAACGATTGAAACGATTGAAACCATCACTCTTCTTTACGGCTACAGTATTCACTCTTCTTTACCGCCAATTCACTCTTCTCTACCGGCTACAGTACCACAGTACCTCACCTGCTGTGCCAACGGCTCTGCTGTCACGGGCGACGCCGACACCACCTGACCCTGAGCCAAGCCCTCTACTTTCGCTCGCTGTTGCTGTTGCTGTTGCTGCTGCTGCTGCAGCGGCTGCCGTTGCCGCTGCGGCATGCCCTGGCCTCTGTCCGGCGCCCCCGTCAACCCCTCCGGCCGCGCCGCGGGACCCCCCCGCTTCTCCTTGCCAAGGACACCTCCGCCCCCTCCCGAGACCGCTCCGGCGCCAACTGCTTCCGGGGCCCGGCCGACACCCGTCAGACCAGGCGGCGGCGCGACCCCAACCGTCGTCGCTACCGCCGCCGTCACCGCGTCCCCCTCCGCATCGCCCGGCCCTTGCCAAGGGCTCGTCATTCCTCGCTCTAGGTCGACGGCAGAAGCGGGCCCAACCCCTTGCCCGTCAGCCGAGGGGGCGCTAGGGGTCGGGGAGGGGGAGGGGGAGGGGACAAGGGGCCCCGAGGAATTCACCCACTGCTGCCCGGAAGGAGCGGTGGCAGTCGACGGAGCAGTGTGTACAGGCGCCGTCGCTGGTCCGCCCCCGGTCGCCGCTGTGTCCTTGGACGCGTGGGGCGCGTTGCGGACGTAGTCGGCCGGAGTTAGATTGAAGCCGCCCGGAAGCTCCTCTTGAGCCGGATCGGCGGCGCCGCCGCCGCTGTTGTTGTTGTGACGCATTGCGCCGTTGACCATGCCGGTCTGATGGGAACTCGGGACACCGGCTGCTGCCGGGTACGGCGGCATTGCAAGGGGGGCTTCAGACCACGGCGGCCCTCCCACTCCTCCTCCTCCTCCTCCTCCTCCTCCGATGTGAGACCGAGGGGCGTGCGATGGGGATGGGTGCATTGGGGGCCGGTACGAGTTTTGCTGCTGTGGCTGGTGCTGGTGGTGGTGCTGGGGTGGGTGCTGGTGACGGTGGTGTTGCTGGTGGAGGAGGTGGTGCTGCTGCTGCTGCGTTGGCGGAGCCCCCTGCGGCCGTTGCTGCAGCGGCGGTGGCGGCTGTTGCGCGTATCCCCCCCAGCCGCCGCCATTGTTGCCGTACGTCAGGTTTGATGATCCCCGGGACGGCCCGGGGAGGTTTGGACCCGGAGGGCTCGGCGATGGCACCGGCGCCGCCGCCGACAGGCCCAACCCGTGAACCATCCCCATCTGCACCGGGGTCAAAGGCGGCGTGGGCTGCTGTGGGAACGGAGACCGTAGCAATTGCTGTTGTTGGTGGCGCAGGGGTGGAGAGCCCAGCTCCGAGTGTCGATGGCGAGGCTGCTGAGAGGTTGCGTGGTTTCCGGTAGAGGGTGGGGGGATACCCCCCGCCGACGGCCCGGGGCCCCTTGACGAAGACTGGGGCCTCGGGCGCCTCTCCCGCTTGGGGAACGCGGCCTGATCCACCTGGTGTTGCTGCTGCGGACTCGCCTGCTGGAGGTGGGAAGGCTGGTTCGCCGCAACAGGTGGCAAGATACCTTCCTCCATCTGCGAAGCCTGCCGTCCTAGCTGCCCCGTGGTGGGCGACCCCAAGCCCAAATCCTCAGCGGGTCTCTGCGAGCCGCCGCCGCGGTGTCCGAGCGAGGGCGATGAGCGTGCGGGGGGGGGCGTCACGTCTATTCCCACGACGGGGGGAGCGGCCGGCGGCCCAAGCGGCCCCACTTGCCCAGACATTGGGAGCCCCAGTTTTTCCTCCTGCTGCTGCTGCTGCTGCTGCTGCTGCTTGATCGGGCTGCGGGCGGAAGTTGCCGGCGACTTTGGCGGTCGCTGCTGCTGCAGCTGGTATCCCGAGAGCTCCTCTCCTCCTCGAGCCTCCGCCGCCGGAGGCTGGAACGAGGAAACGTTCCCGTTACCATTCGAAGGCTGCGGGGCCGGCGGCGGTGGGGCTTCTCGAGGCGTCGTCCCCTTCGCCGCGCCGTCGGCCTCCGCCTTCGAGGAACTCCCGCAGCCGGAACTCGGCTCCCCGAAAAAGTTGAAGGCTGCGGAGTCCCCCTCTGCGGTGGCGGCGGGGCCGGCGATGATCTGGCTTCTCAAGGTGGAGACCATGTCGTCCAGCGTCGCGTAGGAAACCCCGGGCGCGACTTCTTTGGAGCCGTTGGAGGGGTCCAGGTAAAGGGACGCGCGCTCCACGCTTTGTGCGAGGCAGTCGTCGAAGTCAGCCTCGTCCGGAGGCACGGTCTTGCCCAGGAGCACCTGACAGCGACCGCCGTGTACGAACGCATACACACCGGGTGTTGTTTAGATGAGGTGTTCTGAGCGGAATTTACAGAGCCTTTGGACAACGGCAGCGGCACCCCCGCAAACATAGTGCAGGACTTCCGGAGGGACAAAATATACTTACTAGCGCACGTTTTCTTGAGGGCACGGTACAACAGCCAGCTGGAGCAGTGTCTCGGAGTCGAGATGAGAGGTGGTCAAGAAACAGCACCAGGGCAGTCTCATAGCGCAGCAAGACAAATGACGCACTGTTGCAAAACATCAACCAAGCTGCTCGACTCATTCAGAATACGCAACACGGACAAAAAAGGCTTCGTGTGATCCATAAGCAACCTACAGAAACCTGAACGCGGCTTCCCACAAATCAGCCGCAAGCGGACATCAATCAACAAGACACACCACCCCCACCAACCGGCGCGAACCATCCCCACACTACTCCCGTAAACCCAGACATCTATGCATGCGTCGCCTTGAACAATCCATACATAGACATACGCATACCTTGGAGAAGAAATCTACCGCGGTGGGGAGGCGCTGCCCCTTGGCCTCGAACCTGCTCGCCGCGTGCAGCAGGCGCAGCACCTTGGACAGCCCCGTGGCCGCCTCCTTCCTACCCTTCACGATGCCCCTCTCCTCCGCCTCCTGCGCCGCCTTCTCCTTCTCCTGCGCCGCTAGCGTCGCCGCCACCGCCACCGCCTCGGACACCTCTCTCGGGTCTAGCCCCGGTCGGGGCGGCGGCCCTTTAACGTCCGTTTGCACTTCTGCTTCCTCCGTGGCCGGGGGATCTGTGGAGACGCCTACGGACTCAGTCTCCACCGCAACCTCGGCAGCTGGCTGTTGATCTTGAGGACCGCCGCCCTCTGGGGCGGGGGCCGGGATGGACAGGGCCACCGGTGGCTGTTCCGGCTCGGGAGCGGCGGCGATGGACAGGCCGGTCGGCGGCGGCGGCGGCGGCGGCGGCGGCGGCGCGAGCAGGAGCTTAGCCTTTTCGGCCGCCTCGCGCTCCTCCACGTCTTTGGCGACGGCTTCCATGGCGGCCTTCACGCGCTCGTGCTCCGATAGAGCGAACTCTAGCAGCGGCTTGGTCTCGAGAAGCTTGAGCTGTTCTTCGTTGAGGTGCTGGGCGGAGGGAGGGAGGAAGGGAGGGAGCGAGGGAGGGAGGCAGGGAGGGAGAAGGGACGAGGGCGGGTGAGGGTGATCCACGGGCACGGGTGAAAAAAAACTATCCGCCCCGATCGGGGAAACAGCTCTCTCGACGAAAAAGATAATGAGCACGTCCATCTTGTGGAGGCGAAGCGAGTTCACATTGATTTTGGCGGCTTTGCTTCCTAGTGTAAAAAAAAGGTGAAAGGGTTGGCGCGATAATGTTCAAGATTAACCGTGGTGGTCATGTGCATGAAGTGGATGAGCGCAGCCACTGCTGCAGATTAACGACCGCTGCTGGTCAAAAGTCCAGTACAGTGGAGGTCCCTGTTTAGTGCCGGTTGAATAGTGCCGGTTGCCGGTATAGTGCCGGTGTTTTCGGCTCGCACACACTGGAATATCAAGTCGTTCTGTACTGTGAATAGTGCCGGTGCCCGGTATAGTGTCGGTGAATTTTGTGCGCACACCCCGGCACTAACCAGGGGCCTCTGATGTACATGCAGTTAAAAATTAGTACCAATGATGCCACACAAGGGGTCACAATTCATCTTCAAAGAGTGACAAGAAGTCCGAATTTCGTGTGGTCTTGTTCCTGTACCTAGTACCTGTTCAATCGCCGACGACCGTCTCCCAACCATCGTCCGTGGCGGAGTCTACGGTACCTATTTTAGGCCCTCCTGGCCGCTGTAGTCCGAAGGTACGCAGCGATTGGCATCCTACCGACCGCAACTGGTGTCAAACAACAAAACAAACTCTACTGAGGGCGAACTTTTCAGGAGGATAAGGCGAGTGAACAGCACTGCTCTGGTCACACAAGGGAGAGTAAAGGGCACATACTCTCAAGGTGCCACGCCACCGCAGGTAGCTGTCAAGCAACAACAGGGAACGCCAAAGAGTTGTATCAGGCCGAGCCGGAAGCAGTGTTCAACGATTCAAATTTTGCTCTCCATGCTGCTGTGTCTGTACCTCGACTGCTGCTGCACCTCCTGCACAGAATATCGTGTCATTTCTTCACCATCTCCTGCCAAAATCGACAGACCAGCGCGCTGCTCACCTTGCCGGATGCACTTAGGGCCTCAGTTTTCTTTATCTTCTCCATCTTCTTCTTCAAGCCTCGTGCCTTCTTGCTCAGTCCGGCGAGGTAAGGGTTGCTCGTCGTCGCATCATCCTCCTTGCCTCCTCTCATGCTGGTGTCGGCGAAAGCTCTCTGGGCGACCAGCTGCTGTGGAGCACCGGACGACGCCATGATCGAGTTGGACCTGTTCGAGTCCTGAGTGTCAGGACTGGGGCTCATTTCACACCCTTGGCTGTCCTAAGTCTGTCTCCCTCTTCTCCGTGTGTCTTGAGAAGAAAGGAAGGGGTGGTTGGAAAAAGGTACAAAAGTCTAGGTAGATCAGATTGTCGCGCGGCGGAGCTTCAGCAGCACGCGGAGTCGTTGGATCAGTATTAAATGGCGCCAGTTACTGGCGTGTCGGATAAGGGATGGAGAGACCGAGGACACCAAAGGCACGATGGGCTCACCGTCTACAACGTGTTTTTGTTATATTTCGCCCGCAAACAGCAGCACCCCCCGCGGTACGAATTTCGAATGGAGTCGAAAGACCCGCTCTCACCAGAAAAACGCGCGGGGCAGACGAGATCCAAGCGGCGCGCTTTTGAGGCTCTGAAAGTCTCGACCGGTTCTTTAAGATGACCAAGTGTCAGCAAGAACAAGTGGCAGAGCGGTGAACGCGACAAACGACGGAAGCGAGCGGCCCTTTGGTTTCTCGCAATAAATCTCGTAGTCTTCTTGCTTCTTCCACGCGTATTGCGTGGTATCGGTCAATTTCAGGCTTGTGAGCAAAGGGGGGCCCGCAGATAAAATAATCAATCGGGTTTTCATGGATATGCTGACGCCTTTTGTAATTTAGAACGTTTCGCGCTTTCATTTGTTTCATATTTTGTGTTGGGATTTTCGTTTTTTCGAGTCCGCGTGTGCGGTGTGCGACGCTGCGACGATGACCTGAGTGTCTCGGCAACCAACGAACAGACCCTGCACTTGAGAGGAACGAGATGGACGAGATGGGCAAGAGATGTTGTTTGAAAAGAACAAAAAAAGTACTTCTACAAGTAGGCATGAGATATGAAAACAGCAGCGCTGCACAGCAGGTGCGTCTCCGACCATGTCCTCGCAAGACCAAGTTGGCGACTCGATACCATTTTCAGCACAGCATGCGGTGATGATCCGGCGTCTCCAACGCAGCCGGCTTCAAAATACACTCATCAGACATAAGGCGCAGCGGTTCGTGGCGTTAAAAGCACTTCGTCGTTCATGTGAGCTCCGCCGGCAGCTTACCGATGTGCAGGCCGCTGCGTCATCTGTAGCTGGCGGCCGGAGTGCAAACCCGACCCCTCCACCACCGCTGGATCCGAGCGTGAAAGCGCTCATCGAGAAGCTCACAGAGATTGCAGACATCCTTCCATCAGCACATAACGGTGAACGAACCCTACTTGGGCAGTCGAGACAAGGTGTGCCTTGGGGGTGGGGTGAACCAAATGAGCAACAACGGCAACGAGCATACGCGCAGAATGCCATCGAGGGCATCGCCTCTCGCGCAGCGACAACCGGTGGACCGGATGCTTCGCGAGGCCCGTCTGTTGGAGGTGATGCGTCAAACCAACTCGACTCAGTCTTACATCATGCCGAGGACGGTGAAGAAGTGGATATGGGGGTGCGGGGCGCGCAACAAGATCCAAGCGCGCGAAAGGAAGGAGAGTACATGGATCTCGCAGACGACGACATTCTAGGCCAACAGCTACGCGAGCTAGACTCCAACATGAGCACCATGTTCCAAAACCTTGAAAATAAAGTAGGGAAGGACGGCAAAAAGGACTCCGATTTGTTCAAGAATGCCGACGTTCAAGAGAACCGCTCCAAGGAAGAAGACGTGGAAAGGAAACGCGAGGAGCAAGGCCGACAGAAAGAACGGGCGGCCCTCCTGGCGCAGCTGAAGGGCCTGTCTGATGGTGGGCTGACAAGGCGTCCGAAGTGGCGATGGATCGCGGAGGGTGTCCATGACCCTCCCCCCGACCGGGTCTTGAAGGGAAAGCACCTTTGGAAGGCGGCGGCGTTGCTGATCATCGTGTTTTTCGTCCGGCCGAAGAGGACGCTCATGCAACGAAAAGCGAGGTGAGATACTGTACTGTAGTCTAGTCTCTTGTCAATTCCAAGCCTCTCGTTTAGCTCCGGTGCTCGGATCGTGCGTCATCAATATATGGTGAATCCAACCACGACTACTTATCATATGTAGGTTTCAGAGTTGGGGAACGTTCAAGCCCTCACTTTCGAATTGTCCCACTGCCTAAGACTTGGAAGTTTCGAACACACTCATCCGGTTGAGTACCACGTGTACACGCACTCGAGGGCGACGTCGAAGAAAGAATGAAAAACATGTCATAATTTCCACATGGTACTGAAAGCCATGCGGGAGCGAGAGTGACGGAGAGGTGCACAAACAAAAGGCATCACAACAATGTTCAAGACTAAACAGTCCTTAGGTGCAGCGAACTATTCGGGAAGGTGTTCGTCCCTACCTTCATTCTGTTTCAAGTGAAATCACGTCTCTCTACGTTCCTATCAGTGTCACCCCGAGCACAACTACAGCAACAGCCTTGTGGCTGGCAACCCCGTGCGTGAGATTCCTACCGCTGCGCACAATTCTTACATCCAGCCCTGCGTCGGACCGTTCTTGTCCATAGTATGGAGTCAAAATGGCGATCAATTTTTTTGTGTCGGGGCGCACGATTATTTTGTCGTTTGAGTTGCTCTCAGGTCCAAGGACCGCGATACGCAAGACTGGAACGCGACGCTGACCATCTACTTCGACCGATGCCAGACGTGGCTACTGAAAGTCGCGAGGGTGCCGGTCGGTAATTCTGTGCTCAAGAACAGCGCACTAAACTTTCGGCTGAACCGCCTAGACGGCAAGAGGGAAGCTTTCGGCGGGGCGGCCGCTTCAGGGGGCGGGAATGCTAGAGGGGGCTTCGTGAGCGCCCTTGTCAGGAAGGTGGCCAGGGGGATCAACCACGAGAACCTGGCGCTGACGCTCATGCGCCTCAAAGTGCACGTGAAAGGCGTCTTGAACGGCCTGACTCAGGAGATGCCTCCGACGGACATCATGACTTTCTTCAGCTACCTTGCGGCGGACGGCAACTACTTCCCAGACGGTTTCTTTTTCGAGAAGGAGACCAATATGCTCGCCTTCGACGAGCTCGGCGCCGTGCGAAATCTCACCCCGACCACGGACCGTCCTGACGACTTCAATGACACGCTCTACGCCTTGCACAACAGCAAGGTATTGGAAGAGGAGCTCGCAGCTGACCACCAGGACCACCACGAAGGCTTCTTGGACGCGCACCACCTGGGATGGCTGGTTGACGCTGGACACAGTCTGTTGGAGGGCACGAAGGCGGGCATGGCTGGCCACGCCGCCGCCACCGCCGCCGCGACTCGGCCGACCGACTTGAGAGCAGCCGTGTTGCACGGGCATGAGCACCTCCCCGGGAAGTTCAGGCCGCTGTATCGCCACGAGGCAAACGGTCAATGGTTCGACACGTCGTTTGTGGAAATGATCCTGACCAACTATCTCATGGTGCGGGTGTTGATACCGTGGATTTTGCTGTACCCGCAAGAGTCCGGACTGGTCCCGTCCAGCGGCGTGAAGCAGTCGCTCCTCATGCATAACTGCCAGGTGCTGGCTTCGACGGTGTATCTGATCGTGCGGATTCTTCGGCCGGAGCTCACGGTTCCCAACGCCGATACCATGCAAGCGGCCATGGCGGAGGAGACCGAGCGAGCGGCAAAAATCGCAGCAGCAGCAGCTGCTGCTGCTGCTGCTGCAACCGCCGCAGACGATGACAGCAATGACGACAATGACGACGACGACAATGACAATGACGAGGGGCAGGACGGCAGCAACAGAGACGAGGCCGGCCGAGCCGAACCGGGAGAGGCAAAGAAGGGAGGGGCGAAGACGAACAAGCTGGGTGCTCGCAGGCGGGGAAGTCGCGCTGCCGCGCCCGTGATACGGCCGAGAACTGTACGGGAGATCATGCAGACGAGGCGGTACGTGAGCGTCAGCGATAGGCAGCTGGTGCCTGCATTGTTGCCGGATGTTTACTTCTTGCCGTTTGCGGAGCAGATGAGACCGTGGGTGCTACAACTCGCAGCTGAGTTTGACAGCTGGATGCAAAGGGTCGTGGCCGAAGTCATGGGCAAGGTCGAGGGTAGCGCCATGAGACAAGAGCGGGCAGCACCAAAGGATCAGGCTGACTGAACAAACGCTGTAGTTCGGCAAAATGTACCCTATTATAGGTCCAAACGGTTTGCCTCAAAACACACGGGTAGGCAAAGGTGAAGCGCGAGCTCTCTGCGATGGTTCCCTGCGACCAAGGTCGAAACACCAGCACTGCTGTCAGATGGTTGCATGCTTACTCGCGAAATCTCCGACGGACAAATGTCCAGGTTGCACCCCAATTATCACCGCCACCGACGCGATCGACGCTTCATCGGTGCATGGGCTCTTCAGATGCGACTACTTGTAGTGTCAGCGGCGGGAACCGCCCGGGAGCGGCCAAACACCAACACTCCCTGCATTGCACGGATCCGTGACGCTGCTCGGGCCCGAAATATAGAAACGGCCACCGGGTGGGTGGAATGAAATGATTACTTTCTCCGGGCAGTGAGACACACTCCAACCCTTCCTTGTGCAAGAATCGGGGATGCAGTGCATATTGGGTATTGTTTTCCCTCCGTCTATCTACTGTGCAAGAGTACAATGACATGACGATGACGCATAGTCTAGCTACTCTACACACCAAGCTCTTTCTCTTGTGTTCGAAAAAAAAATCCTTACAAATACTGGCTGATGGTATTACTGGGCACCAAACTATTATATCGTACTTCTTCGTTACGTGCTTCTGCAGCGAAACTTGAAAGCAATGCCCGTTTTAAGGTATTCATTAACACAACACCGCCGTTACTATCATGACCATGGTTGTCATCACGACAAAGGAAAATCTAGTTGAAACTGTTTCACATGTGACGTCGATACACACGGGGGTACCACTACACCACGCACACAGGGGCCATGTCGGCAACAACTCCCAACCTCTCCTCCCCTCCCCGTACCCAACAAACTGGACACACGAAACACGCAACGGCTAACAAAGAATATCATGGACACGGACTTAATAGGCATCATACCTCACACAAAGTGACAACGCAATCAATCACTCCACCTAACCACCTAACCCACCCAACCACCACCGCCATTGGCCTCGACGGAAACCATCTCCGATCGCACCGACACTTTCGGTAGACGACCAATCAGAGGAGACGTTACTCGCGCGTTTTGCGCAGGCCCGGTGAAGCAAGCGATGCTCGTTCCGCCAAAAATTCCCTGCAAGGGGCTTCCGCCCAGCGTGCGTCCAGGACGTCCCAGGACGTCGACGTCGCCGCGCATGTACAACGCGCCGATAACTCGAGCGGCAAATGTAGCAGTTTTGTGCTGGCCGCCGATTTTGGGTCAGATCGAGCCATCAAGACCCTGTCCTCGCTGCTGATGGCTGCAGAAAACATGCAGCGTGTTGAGACGACGATGCAAGCAAGCCGTTAAATAAGCTGCGGAGACAACGGCACACGAAGCGAGTGGTTCACGCGAACAATAATCCTTCCAAGTTGGGAACGGCTTCGTCGGAAGAGGCGATGCATGTTCATCGCTCGAAGCAACCCCAAAAATAAACTGCCCGCAAAATTCCAAAGACAATAAGAGGATTGCCTAGGTCCTTTGTGCAAATGGCTACCCAAATTCTTCAAGACACGAGGGCGGGGGGGGGGTAC